TCATTGACATTACTATACTCTTGTTCACACTAGTTAAAATTTTGATTTATTAGTGTATTTTTATGTTTTTATGTTTTTTTTCATCAAAAGATTCAAAACAGTTTTACCAATATTTCAAGTACTTTTATGTTTTTACGATATTTTTTATGTTATGATTTTACATTATATGATTTTTTGACCCCTTTCTGTTTTTACATAAAATCTCATTTTTAACTACATTACTTTCACTTATGACAAAGCTAACATCACACAAATACGAAGGATAATATTTTTTTAAGGAAGTTTAGGAATATTTATTGTTGATTTAAGTTAAAATACGTCATGACTTTAATTCAAGTGTGGTGGCTCAGTTGGTAGCATGGGGACTGAGTGGTGTGAGAGGATCTCGGTTCAAATCCCACCAACACCATCTGGAGAGGGGCATAAATACCGTAATCATTGACTCGCACCCGAACTCTGGATTAGTCCCATAAGCGGTTCAAAGAGTCGAACCCGTCATGGTTTTAATTCATAAGTATTTAAGAATAAATAAACCTTTATTTATTTACCTCAGAGATAAAATAATTTCAATTCTTTCTTTCCTTTTTAATGTTGGACAAAATGAATTTCCAAAACAGCCTATTCAACCGGGTCCAGAATTGAAACCTTACCGATATTGTTTGGACAAGAACCTGGTCCATGTGGTATATCTCCAATACCATGGCAAATTGGCAATGTCGGAAATACGAAATATGGAGGAAAATTGTGTAATTGCATAGAGGGTTATATTTTTTCTAACTCTTTTGTGTGAAGATTAGTGCATGGGAAATCAAGAAAGAAGCAGTTGATATTACTAGTTTTTAGTAGAGAGATTTAAATAATTTACAATTACTAATAATTTTAAATTTAAAAATAAAAATAAAAATAAAAATAGTGATATAATGCTTCCAAGATAGAGACAATATGAGAAGCTATGAGCAGATGAACTTCATTTTGATATAGTTATTGGCAGAGTGGGCCCTTTTTTTCAAACTGAGTGGGCACATATCAAAAGCAATTGGAAACAACCAAGGAGGTTACTTTGACCAATTTATTTGTAACAGCAAACAATAAAGAAAGAGTAGAAAATAAAAGAGGAATTAAAAGCCCCAACTAATTAGGACAACTAAAATGCTTAGGAAGAATCATACAGAATTGAAATTGTTCAGCAACCAAAGATAATGAAGAGATAAACCTTATGCTCTTTATCAGTAAAACATAAATATTATAGGAAGACAAACATCCTTGTCATGTATATACTTTACGATTAAATCTTCATTATAATCGAACATAATAATTTATAAGTCATATAATTGGTATACAAAATTGGCTTTGTCTTCTTTTGGGTAAATCATGTCTACATTCTGCAATCGATGCACAGACCACGCGGGCTGGGTGATTTTTATAATACCATATCTGTTATACCGTCAACATTAAAAAAAAAAAAAAAAAAAAGTAAAATGAATCCTTTTTACGACAAGAGCAAACTAATTAGGGGTGTAAATGGGCTAAACTTTGACTTAAATAGATCAGATTTGTATAAAAAAATATTGAGTATGGCCTTACCTATTAGTCTGTGTAAAAAACATTCGGTATAACCTGATCTATAGCTTGTGTAGGCCTCAAATTACAATTTTGGTCTGACTTATATTTAAAAATTTAAAGCCTCGGCCTAGGCCCATTAGCCTGTTTAAGCCTATTCAACATTCAACAATTAAAATAATAATTAAAATAATATTATTTTATTGAAAATTGTTATACTCACAACCTATTTTCGTTTACAACTTCTTACAACCATATCTTAACCGTTGATTTTCGTCAATCAATGGTTAAGATTTTTGCAAAACAAATTTATTAATTAATTATTAATTCACAATAAATGACAACCGTTGATTGGTGAAAATCGGTTAAGATATGATTGTAAGAGTTTGTAAACTATTTGGGTTGTAAATATAACCCCTCTCTATTTTATTATTCAAAATTATTAAAATAATAATTTTATTTATTATATTTTAAATAAATAATATGATAGAGGTCTGTAGGCTTATAGACTCGACATGTACAAAAAAAGCCTACGACTTATTTTCTAAATAAATTTTTTTAAAGCTAGGTCTGTTCTATTTTACTATTTATAATAGGTCAAAATTGACCTAATATAGGCTAGGCCGTAGGTCCATTTACATCCCTAAAACTAATCATTTCCTTCCTTAAGACAAAAGCAGTTGTTTAAGTTGAAATCAATTATTTTTTATTTTTTGATAAATAGCAAAATTTGCAATCAAATAATTATAATTAGAGATTAAAATGAAATGTACCTCTTCGGTATCACAAATCATTCAATATGATTTACAAACCTCAAGAGTGGGATAATTAACATGAAAAGCTGCTTTTGAAGTCAAAAGGAGACATTTGAACAAAGCAACCGAATTAGTGTCTATGAAAAATAAAGTATAAAAATAGACAAGCAGAAGAGAACTAGAGAGAAAGTGGCATGCACCCTGAGAATGAAAAGGGATTCTTGCTGTTGCATTTCCTTTTTATCAGGTATTGAGGAATACTGGATAGAGCTTTTAAGGACAGGCCAAGCTGGCAGGCTGGAAAGAATTGTTTTATTTTTATTTTTTATTTTTCACAACCTAAACGCTTATCATGATGTTGGGCTTCTAACCAATCATTAATTAATTCATATTTCTTTAACAGCATAGGGCATATGACCATATTCTAAGTCACTTGGGTTGCCTTGCCACTTGCTATCTATCTTGCTGGAGGGGGACTTTAAGACAAATAGATACCATCTAATAAATGTTGGAATTTGATATAAAATAACATAATCAATTAAAATTAGGGAATTACTACTGAACGCTCAAAACTTGTAGCATTTAGATTGAAAAATCTCTCAGATCTGTGTACCCCTTTTGAATTAATAATTAAAAAATAAATTAAAATGACAGTGCAATGTGCTCCAGCGTCCAAATGCTCGAGCTTTCCCTAGCACAACCCTTAAAAACATGAACTAAAGGGGATGGAGTTGTTGGGATTCTCAATTATTTACTAAATTTTATTTGATTTCTTAAATAAATAACTCTTAATTTAATAATTTTTATTATTTATATCAAACCTTAATGATAGCTAAATTTGTTTATTTGCACAATGTTATATATGTTTATTAACATTTAATTAAAGACAAAAAAAGGACTACGCTTTCTTTAATCCAAAGAAGTACTCCTCTAATACATTCAGGAAGCTCCCCGAAAAAGGCATTGATCTTTTTAATACATTAGAACCAGTTTCACCTGCGCCACTGACCATGATGAATTTACTTTACAAGTGACTTTATGCACCTTTAACCCACGTGTCTTCGTGGGAACAAGGTGAAAGTATATTTGCAAGATATTCTAACGTTCAAGTCAGATTTTATATAAGCAGGTTTATTCATATAAAAAAAAAAATATATATATATATATTGTATTTAACACACTTATATTTATAGTGAAAGAATGACCGGCTTTGCGAATATCCCTGATTGTTGCGTGCAAGTGGTGAGACAGCAAAATCTCCCGATTGGTTCTTATGTGGGTGGCTTTATATCAATTTACAGAAGAGCAATATGAGCAGCATTGGTTGACTGAGATGTCATATTTGAAGATACTTTTTTTTATTGTAAAGGCTTTACATGTGTACCTTAATATATTATTCCAGATCAATAGCTATATTTACGAGGGAATTAGCTACAAGGTTTGCTTTTCTGTAGAACTTGATAGCATATCATATCTCCGAAACCAATTAATGCAATTGACAAGATAATTCTGTATTTACTATCGAAATAATACTATTTCACCCAACCCTCGGTTGCTTCAGTGATTAAGCTAATGAACCCCACAACTGCTATTTTTTGCTTATATTCATGTGTGCACTGAATTTATAGACTTCAGCTTTTAGGTTCCTTAAGTGGTGGTATTGGTGGAAATAACACCACTTTCACAAATGTGTACAAGCATATAAATTGCTATAACTAACCCCCAAGGGTAGCTCAGTTGGCAGCTGAGCTCCCAATGGATTGCTTGCTGCAGGGATCAAACCTTGCCTCAAGCAGTTTCTTGAAAAATCTTTGAGTGCCAGATAATAAGCTAAAAATCTTCAGTTGGGGGATTAGTCTCGTCCTTTCTCCGGTTGCGAAGCCTAGTGCACCCACTGTTACGATGAGGGGCTAGCCCAAACGGGCCGTACCCTGAGGGCATGGTGTCCGGGGAAGGTTGAATGAGGATACCTCCTGGCAATGTACCAAAAAAAAAAAAAAATAGCGACTCTGCTTAAAATTTCAAAACCAACATCTCTCTCTTCATCCTATTCAAATTTGAGCACGAACTCTCTAGTTGAAATTACAAATATTCAATGTTCCAATTTCAAAATGTTCTTTAGGGGTTTCCAAAGTACATTGCGTACATGTGTAGATATTCTTATACGGTTGAAGGCAACTTCATATAATCGAGTCGCAAGGTCGAATTTTATAGACTAGTCAAAAGTAAAAAACCATCAACTATAGGTTAGCACATGATAAGAAAATGAATTAGGATAGTTTCCTTTCTCAAGAGGCCTATCATACATACCTACACCAAAAAAATTCTCCCAACTCCCCCCACCCCCCCAAAAAAAAAAAAATCTTATTCTTCCCATAGTATTGTGACTTTATGTGCAGCCTAACATTATCAAGATATGAATTGCCAAGCGCTCAAGCTGCAGGCGTTATATTTCTCATCGCTTACACAACTATGCTAATGACCAACACTACAAAAAACAAACCACCAAAGCTGTGAGTTTTGCAAGTTTAAGAGTAACAACCTCTGTCTTCGAGCCCTTCAACCTTTATATAACCAAAACGTATTTGATCCGGAAAACAGGTGAGACAGCAAATGAATTATTTGTTTTGCTTTTGCAGGTTTCTCTAACACTGTTTGCAACAAATTTTGCAATGTAATGAATGTTTGAACTGCCAATAATTATTGATAGATAATTGTACAATAAACTAACGAGATCCTTTCCAACAGATTGCAAGCCTATAAACAAGAATAAGAATTCTGGTAATCTACATACATAAATGGTGAACTAATTTGACTTTAAAAAAAAACAGCATTTGAAACCTCAGGATGCTCCAGAAACAAATTGGTGCTATACAAAAATTCAATTTCGTCCAATCAGCGGCTGCCCTTTCAACAATATGAAAATTTCACCAAATAAACAAAAGAGCTTCATGGCGAACGATTTTAATACTACAATATCCCAACTGGAAGCTGGAATCCCTTGCTTCTGGAGCCAATCTGGCATGTGGAACTTTTCATAGAGCATAGGTCTTACATCTTTCTGCTCAGACAGTTGCTTGAGAAATGCTAGAATGACATCTAGAAGCTGATAAACAAGCAAAATACAGGAGATGGTGAGTAAAACATCAAAATACCAGATGAATGATTTTATTTTATTTTGGCCATGATGATTTTATGTTCAACAGAACAAATCTGTGCATCTGGGTGTCATGTGGTTGCCCAGCAGAAAATGGGATACATGAAATTCCATTCACTGGTTGCAATACAAAGCTGAAAGGATTGTTGTCTACAATAACAATGCAGCATAGATCATTTAAGATGCAGGTAAGATCCTTGACAACTAAATTATTTAGTTGTTTCTTTTCTTGAAGTCAATTCAGTTCACAATTTTATGTATGTACTACTAAGGTGAAGATGTTTCAAGAGAAAGAGAGTGCATTTGAATCAGAATTGGCCTTCTTGTCCCGTCTACACCACAAGCACTTGGTTAGGCTAATTGGGTTCTGTGAAGAGAAAGATGAAAGGCTCTTGGTGTATGAGTACATGAAGAATGGGGCCTTACATGATCATTTGCATGACAAAAACAACGTGGAGAAGAGTAATAGTGTAATTGGCTTGCAAATGTGGTGTAAAACACTACTACTCTTCTCCACGCTGTTTTTGTCATGCAAATGATCATGTAAGGTCCCATTCTTCATGTACTCATACACCAAGAGCCTTTCATCTTTCTCTTCACATAACCCAATTAGCCTAACCAAGTGCTTGTGGTGTAGACATGACAAGAAGGCCAATTCTAACTCAAATGCACTCTATTTCTCTTAAAACATCTTCACCTTAGTAGTACCAGCTTCCTCCCTTTTGATTGCAACCTCACGACCATCAGCAAGTTTTCCTCTGTACACAACACCATAGCTTCCAGCACCAATCTTTTTCTCAAGTGAGAAATTGTCGGTTGCTGCCATAATCTCAGCAAGGGTGAATTCCTCTGCCATATCTGGATGTTTTGTTGATGAGGTTCCACTCCTCTGAAATGAACAACTTTTTTTTATGTTATGGTGTCCTGTATAACAGACTGCATGTTCTAATGAAATTCTATTTACCTTTTTATATATATGAAACAAAAAAGACTAATAAGCAATGAGTTTGGTGTTAATATCAGTTAATGGTTCAAAAAAAATCTAGCTTTAATTAGTTCTAATATGCTAAGTAAAGCAGTTCCACTTTCTTGATCCGAAGTGCCTTGCTTAATACCATTAAACACTCGCTTCTCAGATAACCAATGAAGTATGACACATAATCCCAGAATTATAATATAGACTTACCTCTCCAGCACCAAGGAATAAGAATCTGTGGTCAGCTAAGTTCCCCCAACCAATTTCAGAGCCTCAACTAGGCAAGGACCACTAGTGTTGTGCCCTGTAACAATTTAGATACAATACCAGAGCTAGTCGTAAGTATAGTTACCAAAGTACACGATTCATGATTGAAGACAGCAATTTCTTAACTGAATATCATCATTAAAAACCAGAAAGTGTTGATCTATATTTTTTAAGTAGATCAAAGGCGTTGTGGTTTGAAAGTCTTCAAACTAAATATATGGCATATCAGATACAGAAAACAGGAAAGTTGAAGTCAACAAATTGTAATATCACAAAGTGATAAAAGAAATAGTCATAAAAGAAATAAAAATCACAAAGCTGTTGCCACTCGATTTGATTCCGGGAGAAAGACAAAAGACTCTACAATATTTAGAAGTAAAAGAATTAATATTATGAGAAGTCCGCCTAATGACAATAATTAGCATAGAGTCCTTCAGTAATATGGACAGAAAGTTGAGCTGTTAAAATCAACATATCTATATTTCTTATATTGGAATCTTCTATGATTTGTTTCCTTTCAGGAGAAAGGGAGACAACTACTGCAGAGAAATGGGTTCAATATCCACTTCAGAGAATTAAAACAGCCACCCAACATCTTCTTCTTTTTTCTTACAAAAAGCACACATCTAATATAAAAAACCAGAACTACTAGAATTTCAATAAACCCAAACTAAAACACATAGTGAACAAACATAAATTTGGGCTTGTTGGTCATACTATTCTAGCGAGAAGGAGATAGAGACCGAAAGGTTAGCCAAAATGTTAAAATAAAAAAAATAAAATTAACAACTTACCGACTTCAACCGACTACAATGTCAAGTTTAACAAAATCAAGCTTACTACCCACTTAAAAAAAATACATATATCCAGTTTTAAAGTGGGGAGCATTAGAAGGCATTAACTTCCACATGTGAACATCAACTTCAACCTCTACATAGCATCAAAATCAAATTTTGAAGGCAACAAAATAGCAAAATCATAAAGGGCAACCTCAAAACACGAAAATCCATTTCTGGGCATAGATCGATTCTCAGTTAAACCACATTTCTTTGCAGGAAAATGGCTGGAAGCCAAAAAAAATTGAAAATGAGGAGAAAGAGATAAAGAAAACAAACCGAGAAGAAGGAGCACGAACAGAGAAGCGAAGAAAGGAGCGTGGGATGGGTGAGAGAGAGAGCAGAGTGAGAGAGTGATCGGCACAAGGGAAAAGTTTTTGGTGATTCGGGCCGCATGTGGTCCTTCGGGGATGACAGTTTGACAAAAAAAACAAAAAAAATTCGTTTCTCCTTCCTCCTCCGTAATTATCTTATCTTAATTGGTCTGCATCACTTAAGTTAATAATCTGAAATTTATATTATATCAACATTGGCACGAGACATGATATAATATATAACATGTTGACATATTAATTATAAAAAATATTATATTAAGATATATTTAGATATTAAATAATATTTTTAATATATATAATATAATTTATATTTAATATATATAACTATCCATAATAAATCATATATATTTACTGTCGAAATATTTCACCCCACCCTCGTATGCTTCACTGATTAAGCTAATGAATCCCACAACTGCTATTTTTTGCTGCTTATATGCATGTGTGCATAAAATTTATAGACTTCAGCTTTTAGGTTCCTCTAGTGGTGGTATTTGTGGAAATAACATCACTTTCACAAATGTGCACAAGTATATAAATGGCTTACATTTAAATTTTAGTGACTCTGCTTAAAATTTCAAAACCAACATCTCTCTCTCTTCATCCTATTCAAATTTTAAAACGAACTCTCAAGTTGAAATTACAAATATTTAATGTTCTTCAAGGGGTCCAAAGTACATTGCGTACAACACGTGTAGTTATTCTTACACGGTCGAAGGCAACTTCATATAACCGAGTCGCAAGGTCGAATTTTATAGACTATTCAAAAGTAAAAAGCCACCGACTGTAGGTTATTCAAAAATATTGTTGGATGGTATTTTCAAAAAAATTTATACACAAAATAAAATTTTAGAAAAATCAGATTCTTAAAAAAAAAATTAAAAACCTCATACCAACAGTAGATAAATAAGATTACCACCCTCGGTTTACTGGAATCCTAAAAAAACCTTCTTTTATTCTTCCCATAGTACTGTGACTTTATGAGCAGCCTAATATTGTGAAGATATGAAGTTGCCAAGCATTCAGGCTGCAGGCGTTATACTTATATTTCTGATCGGTTACACAATTATGCTAATGACCAAGACTACAAATTACCAACCACCAAAGATTTGAGTTTTGCAAGTTTAATAGTAACAACCTCTGTCTTCGAGCACTTAACCTTTATATAACCAAAACGTATTTGATCCTAACTAAAGAAAACAAGTGAGACAGCAAATCAATTATTTGATTTGCTTTTGCATGTTTCTCTAACACTGTTTGCAACAAACTTTGCAATGTAACGAGTGTTTGAACTACCAATAATTATTGATAGGTGATTGTACAATAGACTAACGAGATTCTTTCCAACAGATTGCAAGCCTATAAACAAGAATCAGAATTCTGGCAATCTACATACATAAATGGTGAACTGATTTAACTTCAATAAGCAGCATTTGAAACCTCAGGATGCTCCAGAAACAAATTGGTGCTATACAAAAATTCAATTTCGTCCAATCAGCAGCTGCCCTTTTAAAAATAAGAGAATTTCACCAAATAAACAAAAGAGCTTCATGGCAAACGATTTTAATCCTACAATGTCCAACTGGAAGCTGGAATCCCTTGCTTCTGGAACCAATCAGGCATGTGGAACCTTTCATAGAGCATAGGTCTTACATCTTTCTGCTCAGACAGTTGCTTGAGAAGTGGAAGAATGACATCTAGAAGCTGATAAACATGCAAAATACAGGAGATGGTGAGTAAAACATCAAAATACCAGATGAATGATTTTATTTTACTTCATTTTGGCCATGATGATTTTAATTTTCAACAGCACAAATCTGTGCACCTGGGTGTCGTGTGGTTGCCCAGCAGAAAATGGGATACAAGGAATTCCATTCACTGGTTGCAATACAAAGCTGAAAGGATTGTTGTCTACAATAACAATGCGGCATAGATCATTTGAGATGCAGGTAAGATCCTTGACATGTTCCCGATATTCCCTACACACATCCAGCATTTATAAGAATACTTGTACAAATTCATCCAGCAGACTCCAGTCTGAACTTCAAGCTCAAAAACATTGACCGCATAACAACATTAAAATTCCAGAAAGGATTCAGGTTATTCAATAACACTGTTAAAAAACTAAAGTGAAACTCCACGCTGACTGAAAATAGTGTGAAAAAGAAACAACTAAATTCTAACATCGATGACAAACACAAACACACAAGCATTTGGACTTACAAAGGCTAGAAATCCAAGAATTTTGTCGTCATAACAGTCCCATGTTATTGAACTATAGTCAGTCATTATAATTTGCTAGCGCGATTTCAGCAGTTGAATTTATACAAACCCCAAAAAGAAGAAAGTAAATCTGTAAATGCAAATGCAATCAGAAGTTTTACCATGTGGAACATAATAAGAGTTTAATTTTGAGATTAATGCAAGAGGGAAGAATTTAATTATTTTATCCAAGTTCACAGATTGAAATAAAGTCATAATTATTTAGAAGCGATAATTCATAAAATCAAAGGAATAGGTTGACAAGTCACCCTAGCATAACTCAGGTGGTTGGGATGGTCGAGGATTTGGGCAGAGCTCTTAAGTTCAAATCATGGTAATAACTCCCAGTATACCAAAAATGAAATCATAGACAAAACAGCTAAATAGTGTTTCCAACTTATCCAGATTCATCTCTAATTGTTTCTGGTAAAACCAACAAAAGTACCAAGACATTTTGCCAGAATATCCAAAGTAAGTAAACCCTCAGGGTTTTGAGGATACTACAAAAGCCATCCAACAGTTTTCTTGGGAAAAAAAAAGTTAAGGAAACTATATTCTGCATAAAAAACAAATGACAAAAAAAAATAAAAAATGTACCATTCTTCAACACTTGTAAGCACTCTCCTTACTGAAGTAAGATTACAAGCATATATATAATGCAAGTATAGATGTTGAAGTTATATCATAAAGATAAATGTATAAGAAAATATGAAAACAAAAATTAATGAAGACACTTAGAAATAATTAAAGAGAATCATTGTTGCATAGTTCTTCTATACATCAACAAAACCTTTATCCCAAACTAGTTAGGGTTGGCATGCAAATTTCTTCTATAACGTCTTGGAAGTTTCATCCATTTAATTATGCAGAACACTGCAGTCAAGTTTAGCCAAGGCTCATTCAGTAGAATAGAGTTCAGCAATATTATATACTTCTTCTATCTTCTAAAAAAAGCACTAAAACTGCAATTTTTGGCATTCCCACTCCCCCCGAAAAACTAATCATCACAAAAAAAATTAAATATGTTTTTCAATTGAAGAAGGTACGGCAAACAGGCCGATGTTGCCTACCAGCAATGAAGGACCAGAAAAAAAAAATTATCACATGAGGTGGAACTACTTACGTGCTAATTGTTGACGGCCGATAAAGTCGTAGAATAAACCGATTTTCCATGTCTATCCTGTCAACAAGGGGTCTGGCATAGCCTGTGAGAATTTAGACACATATATCATTCAGAAATACCAAATCGAATTCCAAAAAATTAAATATAAATGAGTGCAGCTTAATATTTTGTGGCAAACCTTCAAGACCAGCAGTAAACAGCACCAAGTCAGCAAAGTCACTAAGTTGCCTTAAGAATTCCTTCAACCCAGGGCGTTCAAAGACTGTAACATAATTGATTTTGGGTTTGCCTTCTCCTTCCTTGAAAATCCAACATGCCCAAGTGAGGATATAATATTCTACTTCTAGACAAGCAATCAGATTAAAGTTACAAAGTAACATACCTTGTCTGAAGATACACATTCCAGGTCAAACCAATTCAAACCAGCTTCGATTGCTTGTGTACGTAGTGCAGAAGGCAAACTTGATGTCTCATATGCACATACCAGTGTTTCATCCAAGTCAAGAACTACCTACAAGTGCACATGTAAGATCGAAATCCAAATTAGCAACAGGAAATTTGAGATAAAATTGGAACAGAAGTATTGAGGTGGGAAGGAAGTAACCAAAGAAAACAAAATAATGTATGACATCGTTTGCAATCTTATAATAGCTCGTCAAAAGTTCTGACTAACAAAAAATATTTCAAACTGGCATGTTTTTCTCTTCTCTTCACAGATTTACTTCAGAAAATTTATTCATTCAAATGTTAAAATCAAAACACTGTGCATCTTATATTTGACATGGCACTCTCTGACTTCAACCACAAATTGAGTACTACATAGTAGCATATGTTTTATGCCAAATTTGAGTATTTGCAAGTTTGTGCCGAGGGTAAAAACAGTAGTGATAGAGAAATTAAAACTATATGACAACACAATGAGTTAAGTTACACATTAAATATCAATTAGGAAGTTATACGAATGCATCATTATTTGCTACAAGCAAACTAAGGAATCAGTGCAGAACACAGCCAAACCATGAGGACTACCTTCTGTCCTCGTGTTTTAAATGTCACCAAACTCTGAGAAAGCATTTCAAAGCCACATCTAATATTTTATCATACGCCTCAGATGCTTCCAAAACCCTTTAAGATGATAGAAGTTGGCCATTTTCTCAATCGCACGAGTCAATTAGACCATGACAATTAACTTCATAACATACACTTTCATGTGAAATCAAAACCAGAACATTCAGAGACTTGTGTTTGAACAAAAACCGAATACAAAAAACAAGAAAGAAGGAAACAGATAAAAAAATAAAAAACAGCGCAAAGACAAAAGGCAAAACATATGATCTATGTCCCAAACACATAAATTTTTCTCTTGTACTATGATCTCAGATTCACCCGTGTAACAAGCTCGGTGATGTTCATCAACTACAAGCAAGCATTTAATCCCCCCTGCAAATAATCACCGATGTTATTTCTCATGCCTTTGATATGCATGTCGTAGCATGCTTTCAGGCCCTACTCAGATCAGAGCCAAAGCGGTTATCCTTACAGATAGAGTACCAATTTCCAAATACTTCAATACACTTCAAACTTAGAAGAAAACAAAAAATTATCTCAAATACACGAAAGAAACAAGTCCAGCAGTTCTATTCACCATGTCCATCATAAAATTATCACTAAACTTGCACAAAATTTAAAAACAAAAAAAAAAAAAAAAATTGAAACAGTGGCTGATTGTGATACCGTGAGTTTTTGGAGAGGGTGGTGATCGGCGGCGGTGATTTCAAGGGAGGAGGGAGGGGGCACATCATGTTCCTGAAGCTCAACTGAGGGCAGAGGCTTGAAGGAAGAGGAAGAAGAAGAAGAAGAAGAGAAAGAGAGTAAAGGATAGTGGCCGAGGGCTCTGATAATCTGAAAGAAGATCTGAAAGAAGAAGGCTATCCAACTCAACAGTGCCCTCCACACTTGCTGAGTCCTCGGCGAGTACACCTCCGCCTGAGTCAACTCGCCCATATCATCAAATATCAAATACCCTTATTAATCTCACAATAACAGCAACCAATTGTGAATCGGGTGTGGTTCGAATTTCAACGGTCGCTGATTCGCCGTGGTGCGTACGATGTATTATACCGTCTTTTTTTTCTGTTCTTTCTCTTTTCTCTCTTTTATCTGTGATTTTCAGAGAGATGTGGTCATCACGGTGGTGCTTCGACAACGTCTATGGAGAGAGAACGAGAGGGAGAAATTGCAGCAGGTGTAATGGCACGCGCTACGGTGGCAAGTTTGTTCTTCTGGCGGCGCGTTTGACAGGAATTTGACAATGGCTACGCGTGTACTGGGCTTTCTTTTATTTTTTTATTGACTTTTTTAGTTTAATAGTGAAAATTGATTTTTTTAATACTGGGGTTTTTTTCCCCTAGATGTTGCAATTACTTTTTTTAAAAAAAATTATTAGAAAGTTGATTAATGAAAAGTAATTAGGAATAAGATAAAATTATTTCCAATTAGTTCAAAATGATATTATTTTAAAATTAAAAGTTTAAAATTTATAATATAATTCTGAAATAAATTAAAATTATAAAAATTCTTTTTTTTTTAAGCTTAAACGAGATCATTTTTACAATTAGAAATAAGTTATCTCCGTTAATAGTAGATACATTAAACTCAGATAATTATTATCATTTTTTTACTTAATAAAATTACACTTGGTCGGTAATCTTTAATTTTCTAATTATTGTCTTCTTCTGCCTACGAGCTATGATTTTGTCTTTTGCCAAGACATTTCTAGTAAAAGTAACAAGAAAGTTTGGCATTTTGCCCCTATTTTGTTCATTTTGTCCCTGGTTCAAAGAAAATTATCATTTCACTACCTTCTTAAATTATATATTAATATATTTTTGTTTAATTAAAGTTTGATTAGCATTATTAAAGTAAATTAGTTTGATTTACTCCAATAAATGACTTAATGATGTAAAAAAACTCAAAAACTTCTAAGAAATTCTTAGGTTGGCAGGTTTAGAAATATGTATTAACATGAAGTTTAACTTTAAGAAAGGAAACTTTATTACAATAAAGTCAAGAAATGATATCGTGAAGTTTATAATATAATAAAAAATAAATATCCCAATTGATGAATATTGCTTCTATTTAATTTAAATTGATTTGGGGCTATCAAAAAATTAATTTCAAGTAAAATCAAATAATAATAGGGGTAGGACATCGTAACAACTAACTAGGGTTACTATCAATCAATTTTACTGTTAGATCAATTATGTGGATTCAACGGTTATATTTATTTTCACCTTTGTATGGTTATGATTTCTCATAAATATCAGAAATCATAATCATACAAAGGTGAAAATAAATATAAAGTATTAAATATGAAGAATCATAACCATATAAAGATGAAAATAAATATAACCATTAAATCAACGTAATCGATCTAACGGTAAAATTAATTAGTAGTAACCTTAATTGATTGTTATAATATTCAACACCGAAATTAAATTGAAAAAACTTAAATTTTAATATAAGAGTATTTTTATATTTTTATATCATATTTTAAAGGTGAACACTTATCTCCCTTCTCGTGTATCTGGATCCGCCTCTGTATATAAAAGAGGAGGAATATTTTTGTTTTATTTATTTTATTTTTTTGAATGAGGAGGAATTTATTTACACTAGTATAAGTTTAAAATGTTAATGGTACAAGAGTCACTTCGATTTACAATAATGCAAATCATTCCCTTCTGATATATCGTGTCGACATGCAGTGCATTATTGATTTTGATTTTTCAATTAATCAATATCGTTATTGCTTAAATGAATTCAATCATAAATTGTTGAGAATTTGTTTCGGATATTATTACGTGGAAGGATATTGTAATAATCAAGTTGTGTTACTATCAAGTTACTATTAATCAATCTCATGATCGATTATGTTGATTTAACGGTTATATTTATTTTTATTTTTGTATGGTCATGGTTTCTCAAATTTAATACTTTATATTTATTTTCACTTTTGTATGGTTATGATTTTTAATATTTAATGCTTTCACTTTAAACATGGAGAATTATAACCATACAAAGATGGAAATAAATATAACCGTTGGATCAACATAATCGATCCAACGGTGAAATTGATTGGTAGTAACACAATTTGGTTGTTATAATATCCTTCCCATATTTCTACATGTAAATAAGTTATCTATATTCATTCCCTAAATAACGTCATTTTAGGTTAAAATTTTTAAAAATTATAATAAAAAATATTATTATAACCCTAAAATAAATTATAATTACAAAAATATATTGATTTCTGTCCCAAAATATTATTTTGAGCTCAATATAGATAAATTATCTAGATTGACTTAAAAAAACCTTTATTTATATACCAATGAAATAATGTATTTAGTAAATAATATGCATTTAATGCTGATAATACATTTTACAGGAATAAAAAAATAAAAAATATTTTTAATTTGTGTTCCAAACACTTCATACATATAATTAGTAAATCATCGTAAATATCAAAATTGACATATAATAATGCAGAGATTTAAAAAACTTAATTAAAACAATAAAAAAGATTATTAATTGTTTTCCAAAAAAAATCATAAATTAAAATAAAATTTCAAGTATTTGATTTAACTATATTCCTTTAATAACTTCAAATTTATCTTTAATGTCCAGAACAAAATCTCATTAAAACATACCTAAATCAGGGGAGGCGGCGAGGTCGAGGGATGATTGGGGAATCGTACGAACGCGCTTCAGGGAGCGTGAGGAGAAAGGGTGTTATTATGACTACTATCAACAAAAAAAAGTAACAAATAATAATAAAGAATAGGGAGCTACGGGGAATGAGCCAATGAGAAAAGACAACATTTGAGTCTTTAAAGAGATTGTCCTTGCTCTGAAATTATATGATTATAATTTTAGAACATGTATGAATTATTGAAAATAAATAATTATAAATTATTAAAAAATTAAATTTTTTTCTTACGATACATAGTAAAATATCATTGTTTAAAATTCAATGGTTACCTTGTATAATAATCAAAATTTCTATTTATTATACTATCTCGTATTTGTTTTTTATACGTCTTATTTTAACAATTTTATAATAAATACATATATATAATCTCAAAATAAAGAGCCAGGATCTGAAAAAGATATAGTAAATGGTGTGTTGCCTGAATATTTATTTATTTTTTCTGAATATTGACCTGTAGGTTTTGGCTGTTCTTAAAACTTCAACTGAAACTAAAACTAATAGTGATTAAATTAGAAACTAAAAACCAAATGATTAAGTTTGTTTCTTGATAAACAAATCAATTAAAGATTGACTGAATTCATGGTTTTTTTTTTTTAAACGGCTGAGTTTCATTCAAGATTAAATAGGAGAAGTATCTATATTATGACATTCAAAATAAAGAATATTATACTATTCAAACTTAACGATTTTTTTTTACCTTAAGATAATTTGATTAAATTTACTCTTTTTAGTACACGTGTACTATTTTTCTAGTTACATTATAACAAAACAAACAACTTTAAAAAAACTTTTTAAAAACTCTGAAGTACAATTATCATTAACTAACAAAATAGCACTATTCATAATTATTCTTTAGACTTTTTCATGTAATGTAAAGTATCTATCAAATAAATTTGTTTGGTTGTGTTTAGTATCTTTAAATAGCAAATTCCACAGTAAGAACATGGTACAATTAGCTTATAACAAGTAGATGGTACTAATTAATAAGGAATATTAAGAACCTGAATTGCGTTTTGCGGAAATGGGAAATGCAACATATATACACACACAAGTAGTTTTCACTTTACAGTTTTCAGAAACTAGATTAACAATCAATACTTTATTTGCCTTTCCAATGTTAAGACAGCATAATTAAGCAATACTTTGATCGTACAAAAGTCGATGTTCTTTTAAATCATTAAAGTAATTCGATGAAGACATATGGAAAAAGATTTCCGGAAAATTCCTTTCTTAAATATTTGAATATAAACAAAATATCAACTACAAAAATTAAGAGCGTGTTTAATAATGATTATTTAAATAAATATATATATATATATATATATATATACTTTTAAGTTTTTTCATTAAATTTCTTATAATTTTTTCTAAAATAAATTATCCTTATAATTGCTATTTCCCTTTTGGTAATTTTGAAATCTTGCCTTGTTTTGGCATTTCTAAGTAATTAATGGGTGTTGATGGGAAATAGAAAAATTTCTTCTATTTCTGTCCCTCTTTTTTTGATTTTTTCTCTCTCAATTTCTTTTCTTTTTTTATTTTAGGGAGGAACTACCATGATCAAGGCCCACAAAAAAACTTCTTGTGTTCAGGATTGATTAAGCATTTTCCTTTGGTTTTTATTTTTGCTGCCATAATTGTGAAACACTGGCACAATTACAGGAAAAAATGAGAGATTTCCTGATTTATTTATAAATTAGAAGAAATTCTGGTGTCATATGGGTTGATTTTCTGATCATGACTAGGGTTGTCCGCAATAGGGTACTAAAGGATGCCAATGGTGATATTAGTGATCATCTACGCAACGAGAATATCTCATGTGCTATGGATATATTGAGTTTTTGATACATTTTTTTACTTATAATGTGATGTGTGTTTTATTTTTTTATGAAATTATTCTTTCACTTAATTTAAAAATAAATTATTTATTAATAAATTGATAAAAATAAGATATATATCCATTATGAATGAAAATTACATTAAAAATTCAGTACATTCGTATTATTGAAGAAATTTTCCTACGCAACCACATCCATTTAACAAATTGTTTCACTTGAAGAACCTCGTGCACAAGAACAGCTCCATACTGCCCGATATGTCACTCATGAGGGATCTTGTTCTGCTGCAAAGATCACGCTTTCTCAGGGACCCTTATGCGAGTTTGGCTGATGTGCTTTTAGGAAGAGTTGAAAATGATTCAATGGTGATATGACAAAAACTTCTCTTGCCATCACCTATCCATTCCATTCGTCTCTCTGACTCTATTGTCAGTACCATCAGTCAACACTGTATTGGTCTTTGGACCAGAATTTGATGTGTTGATGCCACCAATGTTGTCTTATTTATTGTTTGGTTGTTGAAATCATGAAGTGGCAGTTATGTCACAATTTATGATTCTAAACTGAAAGTATTTTGTTTTTGGTTTGAATATTTTTAAAGAAAATTTTTCATTATATAAAAAGAAAACATTTAAAGGATTGGATCAAAGATATGATTAGAGATTTTAGTGAATATTTTATTGAAGATATGATGAAAAATTAAAAAATAT